TTTTTAACGTCAAGCAATTCTCTGCTATATGCGTCGAACTAAAACTTTGACCTTTTGCAACGTTTTGATTTAAGTAGCCTATTATTAAAATGATTCCGATATCGCACGCCCTTGCGATATGCATATTGCGATATGTACATTTGCGATGTTTCGATAATTTCGATATATCGTGCAGCCCTAGTTTGCTCAAGTGTAAACCAGATATCAGAGCATTCAAAGTGTCTTCATGCCATTAACCAGGAGTCCTTGAGTCATTTTACAGTCTGCATTAACTACAACATTACTCTGTAAAAATGGACTGAAGAGAGATTCAGTTTCTCAGGGCTGAATGTTGAAATCTGGGGTAATTCTTCACTTAAATGACTCACATTAGGGTATTAATTCACATTATTAATCCAAAGTCATTCACAGTTGTATAACTATTTCACAAATCGCAAATCGTCTGTTATGCTGATCTGCTTTTTATTCAGATTCATTTTATTTGGATTAAAATTAATTTATAACTGAGTATATATTGAATAGTGTTCAATTGTGTATAAATGTACTGGATACATTTACATTTATGATGTATATTTATAAATGAAAGAATGCATTGAAAGTCATTGTCAAACTTGTATGATCTATAATGAAATATAATATTTTATGAATGCCACTACACTACCGTTCAAAAGTTTGGGTTCAGTAAGATTTTTTTTTTTTTAAATAAATTCATTTTATTTAGCAAGGATGAATTAAATTGATTAAAAGTGACAGCAATGACATTTATGATGTTACAAAAGATTTCAATTTTTAAACAAATGCTGTTCTTTTGAAATCACTATTCATTAAAGAATACTGAAAAAAGTATAAGTTTCCACAAAACTGTTTGCTTTAAGTTCATCTTTAAATATGAAATATTTAACTAAAATTTGAAAATAAGTATCTTAATTTCAATATCAGTACTTTTTCCTGTTAAACAGTTTTTGGTGATCCATCTACCATTTATTAATTTACACTGTATGTATCCTTGTTCTTTCAGGAGAAGCCCCTTTCCCGCTCACTGCAAAGAGGAGAAGATGCACAATTTGATCAGGTTAGTATATGTGTGTCTTATTTCATAATTTAATAATTATAAATGCGTGTAGTATATCTCTTTCCCATCTTGCTTTTCGGTCCTCTTCTCTCTTTCTCTCACTCTCCATCACTCATTTCTGATTAGCGCAGAACTTTTCACAGCAGAGCTGCAGCAAAATGCTTTGTTTAGCAAAACGCAAAGCAAATGAGACATCATCCTGCAATGGATCCAGTCAGTGCCATTAGGCTTGTGTGTGAGAAAGAATGAGCCAGTGAGAATGTGCTCTGTATGCAGAAAATCACAGCAATTTGTGTCTGTGTGTCTCTATGCTTTTTAGTGAACAGAGTTTTGGTGTGTGTGTGTGCACTGGACATTGCCAGGAGCAGAATCGCTGTGTCATCCGCAGCAGTAGATCAGCACAGGCTGCTGCGAGTGTGTGTGTGTGTGTGTGTGTGTGTGTGAATATATCAGTTCAGGGTGTTGGAGTGTGTCTGCCAAGTGCCATGAGGGCCGGAAGAGCAGTTACATAACTCTCCTTAACCACATACATCATCCTATCCCACACACACACTCACCTGATGCAGGCCTCATATACAGTAGGGTCTAAAAGTCTGGGAATCAGTTTTGAAATAAACAAAACTTTTTTTTCCCAAAGTTCTGGGACTTTGAAGCTTTTTTTAAACAAAGAAACATTATGACTTAAATTGAATAATGTATTTCAGATTTTAAATCACTAATGAAATGAGTTAATTTGTGAGCATGTGACTCTTTGTACAGAGGGTCAGATGTTCTTTTTTCCATTGAAGCTCAATATGCTCTTTGGGATAGTCTCAGATCATGCTGGAGAACGTGATGATCAGGTTTGATGATTTGCTTGTGATGTTCCTCATTAGTAAGTTCTTTCACATCTGCTAAACAGTGTTGTTTTAGTATTTATATACTATTATAGTATTCAGTTTTTCTTTTTAAATTTTAGTAATTTTATGTAAGCTTATAATTTTTTATTAGGTTTTTTTTATTTCTATTTAGCTTTATTTTATTTTTGTTTTAGTTGTAGTAATTATAGTCCAACTTATTTTCAGTTAGTTGCCAAGACAACATTAATCTTAAGTTGTTTGAGTATAAGAATTTCATATAATGTTTATAGTTTATTTAGCTTTATTTCAATGAATGGAAACCCATTTTTTATAGTTTTAGTTAATGATAACAACACTGCTGCTAAATGAATAAATGTAAATGTTTGTCACAGATGTGAGGAATTTATGCAGCTCGAGTGCAAAAAAAGAAAAGAAATTTAAAGCAAACTAAATATTAAAACATTATGAAATTCATCATGGAATTTTTTTCATTCAACTGTTTCACTCAAATTGTTATGATATAAGATGGAATGAAAAATGTATTCAATTTAAAAATGTAAAATAGAAGAATTTGCATTAATGGTCTCAAGACTTTTGGATCCCAGTGTACTTCTGAACATCTCACTTTATTAACAAGCACACTTTCACTCTGCGCATTAGTCTTTTATTTATTTTTTATTTTTTCACAACGCTAGCACACACACACTGATTTGGCTGTTGGATTTGCCTGTGCTGAGTCTCAGGAACTGCATGTTCAGTCGTGACGTGTTGTGACCGCAAAGAGATCAGCTCTGCTGAATCACACCACAGTGAACTATACTATCCCTCACTCACTCATCAGCATACATACACATCTACTCTACTGCCATAGCTCAGTGTGTGTGTGTGTGTGAGAGAAGAGAGAGAGAGAGAGATGCTTGGTGCTGGGTTACTGCAGTGAAAGGTTGAGTAACCACTGGAAGTATCATCCTACACCCATCCTGCCCTCACAACAGGACAGATCAATAACTGACTGCACTCAAAATTGCTTCCATCTCTCTCGCGTCCCTTACCTTGTCTTTCCATTTTCATCCATTTGTATATTGTTCTCTCTTTAGATCTTTCTCTTCAATCAACTTGACAATGTTTTTACTCATTAGGTTTTACAGACAAAATAAAATGGCTTTCAAAATTAGAGTCTGTGCTGCAAATAACCGATATTTCAGAGGTGGAGAACGTTTGTACATTTTAATGGAAGTTTTTTTTTTTCCTCTTTGAAATAACATGCACTGATGAATAGGGGTCGACCAATTATCGGCGCCGATATTAATAATTTTTATGATTATCGGTATCGGTCATTTTCAAAAAGAAGAAAAACACTGCTCTTAAACTGGGTGTGTGACAGGTATGGCTGAGGAATGTGGTTTGGCCGAGGAAAAATTTTCAGTCAAAATATTTCTTTTTTTTGCTTTAACCCCTGACTACTACAACAATTATTACAACTTTTTTTTAAAAAGAATAATCACACAATACGCTATTTCTTCCATGTTTTAATTTTAATGGTAAACCCTTTGTTTAAAATAAAGAGTTTACTGTGGGAGTACTACACTCAACCAACACCAGGGAAGGCAGTTTTTGTCAGAGCCCTTGTTATTCTTAATTTTGACATTAATTTCAATTTTTACACCAGACATATATATCGGTTCAAAATATCGGTTATCGGTCTACTTGATCTGTAATCATCGGTATCGGCATCGGCCTTGAAAAACACATATCGGTCGACCCCTACTGATGAATCATGCACAGCAACCCCACCGCCATTTAGTATTTCAGTTTATTTGTTTTATTTATTGTCATTCTGTATCATCCAAGTGAAACAGATTCAGATCTAAATAACATTAAATATGACAAGAGAAAAAAAAAGTAACATATTGCATGGATGATTCATTCGTTAAAAGATCAATAACATGCATTTTATGCCTTTAATAGATAAATTAATTAATATTTGTGACCATGGACCACAAAACCAGTCATAAGGGTCAATTTATTTTTATTGAGATTTATACATCACATGAAAGCTGAATAAATAAGCTTTCCATTGATGTATGGTTTGACAATATTTGGCCGAGATACAACTATTTGAAAATCTGGAATCTGAGGGTGCAAAAAAATCAAAATACTAAGAAAATCGTCTTTAAAGTTGTCCAAATGAAGTCCTTAGCAATGCATATTACTAATCAAAAATTAAGTTTTGATATATTTACGGTAGGAAATTTACAAAATATCTTCATGGAACATGATCTTTACTTAATATCCTAATGATTTTTGGCATAAAAGAAAAATCGATAATTTTGACCCATACAATGTTTTTTTGGCTATTGCTAAAAATATACCCCAGCGACTTAAGACTGGTTTTGGTCCAGGGTCACATTTAGTAAATATTTGATTTCATGTTGTGTTTAACCCACATAAAGAGTGTGTCATTGAGCTGTATTATTGTGTTTGTGTGTTACAGTTAATAAGCTCTATGAGCTCCATAGCAGAACACTGTTTGCCTTCACTGTTGCGGACGTTGTTTGACTGGTACAGAAGACAGAGCGGGACAGAAGACGAGTCGTACGAGTACAGACCTCGCTCCAGCACCAAGTCCAAAGGGTGGGCAAATATACATCTTACACATAGTACACATCATCGTATGTTTTTCTCTTTCTCTGCTGTCTCTTTATCTTTTCTTTAGCAAGAGCTTCAACAGATGCATATGATGTGCCTCTTTCTTGTGACATTTTATTTGGAGTTAATAAAACGTGCTTTTATTCTAACTTGTGAATCCTGTACTTTTGATCTCTTTCTTTAGAGATGAACAGCACCGAGATAAAGACTTCCTACTGGAGCGAAGGGACTTAGCCATAGACTTCATTTTTTGTTTAGTTTCAGTGGAAGTTTTGAAACAGGTGAGGTTTGTGTGTTTCATTGCTTAGGTGTGGTGTCTCAGAAGTCAGAGATAGGTGTGTTGTGGCATTAACATGCATAGACTTGCTAACAGTATATCAAGGATCCTGAAGTAAAACAGTGACCCTTACATCAGGGTTGATGTTGATGAAATGTTTTCCGTAGATTCCCCTTCATCCCGTGCCAGACGCCTTAGTACAAGAAGTCCTTAACCTGGCATTCAAGCACTTTAAACACAAAGAGGGGTGAGTCTGCATACGCAAACACACACTTTCCTATGCAAATTCTACAGATGTACCCTGGACAAATGCAAACCTAATGTGAGACACACAAGTGTGTGATTTCTGAAACTACCTAGAATTCAATTGCATCATGTGCATCACATCATTTTCTATGTATATACACTTGTTCAAAAGTTTAGGGTAGGTCACCAAGGCTGCATTTATTTAATCAAAAATACAGTAAAACTATTTTGAAATATTATTACAGTTTGAAATAACGGTTTTCTGTTTTAATATTTTGAAATATAATGTATTCCTGTGTTCATAAAGCTAAATTTTCAGCAGCCATTACTCCAGGCTTCAGTGGCACATGATCCTTCAGAAATCACTCTACTATGATGATTTGCTACTCGAGAAACATTTATAATGATCACAAAACTGTTGTGCCATTTTTGTGGAAACTAGGTTACTTTTTTCAGAATTCCTTAATGACTAGAAAGTTCAATGGAACAGCATTTATTTGAAAGGGGAATCTTTTATGCATCGATTTTATGCATTCAATTCAATTCATTCTTGCTGAATAAAGTATTTCTTTAAAAAAATACAAATGTTACTGACCCCAAACTTAACAGTTTAAATGTAATTTTGTAATTAATGGACTACAAACCAATATTTTCTTGATTCTGTGTAGAATGGCTTGTCTTACTGATTGTCATGGTGTGTTTGACAGGTACTCAGGCCCCAACACTGGTAATGTGCACATCATCGCTGACCTCTACGCTGAGGTCATCGGAGTTCTCGCCCAATCCAAGTGAGTTCAAATCCATCCCAAAACCACAAGGAGTTTACAGTGTACCTTTTGTGGTCTGTTGCACATAAAAAAAATTCAGTTAGAAATTTAACAAAGAAAGGATGAAGTTGATGCTAGCACATAATTCAGATCTCCCATCAGAGTTAACAAAGCCCCCAAACCCCTCTCATTCTGTCAAACTAACTTGCCTAGAGCTAAATACAGATGATTTGTACAGTCTTCGGACGCTTTTAATGTTACTGTAATTCTCTGCTCTCCACACGCCAAGACTCTCTCACAGCTACATGAAACTGTCCAAGCTATAATGTAATTTAGCCCTGTGCTGTAATAGTCAGGGCCTGAAATTGATTTACCACAGTGCTCAACCTTCCCTCCAGTTCATGATTTCCTGTGCAGAGCCACTTTGTCCCGAGGACAGTGTTTGAAAAGGCCGTTTTACATAATATGATAAAGGCATGATGCGCTGACTGTGGTCCTTGCTTGTTTGGATCAGATGGTTTCCATTGCTGTAACAAGCTTTTGCTTTTGAGTTTTGTTTTTACTTAAAGGAAACTCTTGAACTTTTTACAAAAAAAAATGTAAATATGGCCCACAGACAGTAACAAGCCAGTTTTTTTCACCCTGTTATGTGACGTTAAGTTTTGGTTGAAGGCTCCTACACACATTTGTTGAGCACTTGATAGAAACTTGACAATAAATTTTCATCAGCTGTTGTGCGAATAGACTAGACACCTAATTCCAAAATTTTAATTAATTTCTCTTTAATTATGTGTTTGTGTGCAGGTTCCAGGCAGTGCGTAAGAAGTTCATCACAGAGCTGAAGGAACTGAGGCTGAAGGAGCAAAGTCCTCATGTGGTGCAGAGCATCATCAGCCTCATCATGGGCATGAAGTTCTTCAGAGTCAAAATGTACCCCGTTGAGGACTTTGAGGCTTCTTTCCAGTTCATGCAGGTCGAGACACATGCAAACACAGACATGTACTGTACATGTAAAGGTTGTCTTCAAAGGTTTCTGTCATCATTCACTCACCTGCATGCTGTTCCAAACCTGTAAGACTTTCACTCATCTTCATAGATTTTACATTACATTTTTTGACACGTTAAAAAGTTCATGAAGACATTGTAAAAGATATCCATATGAACTGGGCGGTTTAATCCAAGTCTTCTGATGAGACATGCTAAATTTATGATGAACAGATTTATTTCAGGCTTTTATTTGCATATAAATACTGATCAACGCACATACATACAGCATATCAAATATGGTCAACAATAGCTCAAACATGCTTGACTTTCAATGAAGGGTCAGAAATTTCCCATATATTTTATAAAAAATATTTTCATTTGTGTTTTGAAGATGAGTGAAAGTCATATGGGTTCATAACAACATGAGGGTGAGTAATTGATGACAATTTCAATTTTGGGTGAACTAACCCTTTCATTTTGGACACTAAAGATGTTTTAGTGTTACATGGTACATCTCATGAACAGAGTATAAATATATTTATTTTCTAAAATCTATTACATTTGTTAAATCGACTGTTATCTAGCATAAAAGAGGGCTTGACCTTCTCAACAAAAAAACAATTAAAATCCCACAACAGCGACGTAAATTTCACATAATCTCTTGAATAGATATGTAGTTATTTGTAGAATTTTTTATTTTTTTGATATATACTAACTTTAATGACCAAAAACATAACATTTCCCAGTGTCCCAAAGACATGTCCCAATTTTTGCTAACAGACTTGTACAAATTGCACAAATTGTGAATTGCATGCAAAATAAACAAAAAACAGAATGATTTGTATAAAATTTAGTTTGATTATTCTGAGTTAAGCAAAGTTATCCACCTTTTTTAAATGACAAATTTAAATTATAATAAATAAATACAGTAAATATTGTTTTCAACATTTGAGGCCCTATTTTGTTCCGTTTTGGTGGAAAGTGCCACATCATCACTGTCAATACATTTTGAGTCTCGTCTGCTCTATTGTCGTTCAGACAGTACTTCTTTTGTTTTATTTGCGAGCTCTCTGTAGTCATGCCTCATAAAATCTCTTGAGTAACAGTCTCAATGTGTTAGCCCTACCTTTGCCAACAGGACTGTGTGGAGCAATTCCTTTACATTAGCCACTTATAGGCAGTGAAGTCCTGCACTCAATATGTGCTTCACTTAACAAGCACTGTAATCCAGAGATTTTTATTGAGCTGTATTTTATTGTAGACCTCATATTTCTCCAACTACCATGTGGCATTGTGTACTCCTTACAAAAGGTTTAATAGTGGTGCATCCTTTTCAGTTACTAAAACTACATTTATGAGTTTCTCTCAAATGTTTATTGTGCAGATTTGCATTAATTAATTAAATGTTTTGTTTTGTGTGTCTCTGTTGGTGAAGCAGGAATGTGCTCAGTATTTCCTGGAGGTGAAGGACAAAGATATCAAACATGCACTGGCTGGCCTGTTTGTTGAGATCCTCATCCCTGTAGCTGCTGTAAGTACCGCATAGCTCTCCATTTGTTTAAAGGGGTCCTATTATGCTCTTTTACAAAGTCTTGATTTTGTTTTGGGGGTGTACTAGAACAGGCTCTCATGCTAGGTTGTTCGAAAAACACATTATTTTTCACATATTTTACATTATTACAACACCTCTCTCCCCAGTCTGGCATGAATGGCTCAAATAGTTCCAGTATCAAATGAAGGAAATACGAAATGTGCTGTGATTGGTTAGCTGGACCAGTGTGTGTTGTGATTGGCAGCACTCGGCGCCTGGTCGGGAAATGTCATGCCACTTACCATAGCCGCCTGCAAGCTTCAGTGTAAATATGGCGTCAAAATCAAATCAATTTGAGCGCAATTTAAACCCGGATGATTGTAAACTCTCTAAGTTCGTCTGCCTTGGGAAAGCTAGCTTGTGTCTGACATAGTGATAACATTCGTTGCCTTCTCTAGTGCAGCTCAATCAGGTCTCGTCCCATTCGTCGATATTTGTGATATCACAAATCCCGGAAAATATGCATTGTAGTCAAAAGCAGTTCTTCCTCAATAACTGGCACATCTTCCTTCAGAACTGCCTTTCCCACCTGAAGGTAACATTTTCTAACAGTGAAATGAATACAGAGTGTTTACTTCAGCTTGGTGATATTCTTTGGGGGGAAAACCCCCACTAGAGCTGACAGTTTCACAGAGATTGCACCATAGAAAATGCAGCTTACAAGTAGCTGTAAAAAGTAGCTACAAATCCTACATTTCTATCAAATGTGGTTTGGGCACTGCAAAAACCAAACAAAATAAAATGTGCTGTTGATACATATAGATTCTGAAGCCTGGAGGCAGGTTTGGTGATTCAATATAAAAATTCATTCTGTTTGTGGGTTGGTTCACTTACATAATTTTGGAGAAAGGTGTGGTGTTATAGACAACTTCTGAAAAATGCTTCTTGCTTATGTTTTTCAGTTAATTATACTTGTGTCATCCACTCTTTCTCAATCATATCTCAAAACCGTGTGTGTTTGTGCTTGTCCACGTTCTTTTTCATTGTCGCTGGTTCAGCTACAAGGATGTGATCATTTTTTGGTTTCTTAACTTCCCTTCCACAATGATTGAGTTTTCCTCCAATCTATGCAACTTTATCATGTGAATCTTCAGGATTGATCCGTGATGCTTTGATTTGGTGGTGGTGATTTTATGAATGAGTAATCAAACTCTATGTAACTCCCTGCAGTACCGATTAAATCCTTTACTCACTTTCCGTTAACCTAGATCAGGACTGGATCAGAATTGGACTGTAGTGTGGATCTTACTCCAAATCCACTTTAGGCCGCTTCTTACATTTCTCAAAAAGGCATGTGAACGATTCAGGATCAGAAGTGAAGTTTTCCTCAGTGGTCTGTTAGCCAATTGAGCCCAGGTTTATGGGATTTGTAGTCTCAGTGGTGGATAATTTCTCTCCTAATTGATCCATGGATCCCCTTTACAGTTCTGCTTGTCTGTCTGCTCCCCTGTCTGTTCTAACCCTGCTGTAGTTTGTCTTCCCTGGCCAACAGACTTTAGTCAGAGTGGACGTCATATTTTATTTGAATCCTTGTTATATGTAGCGTCTAATCTGACTATATTCTTCACAATCACTCTCGCTTGTAATCACCCATTTGCATGCACTAATCCTGCCTTTTTTGTTTTTATTTTTTTTATTTCATTTTGTTTCAATCCTGCTATTTGTCTTCTCACCCATCAGAAACTCTTCATCTTCATCAGCACATCACCTATATATGAATTCAATTTAAAATGAGCTTCCTAGAAGCTTTTGTCTAATGGGACATTTTCATTCCTTAAGGAAGTATAGATAAATGTTGAAATACTTGTGTTGATTCTGTAGGGAATCTGACACTGAAGTATTAAATCTTATGCACCCTGCTCTTTGTTTTGCATGTTGTTGTAGCACAAAGCTTTGTTTTGTTCTTAAGTTTGTCTCTTGTTCTTTTTCTAACCTGCATGTCTTCGCCATCACCATCACCCTCTGTCCTTTGTCATCTTTTTTTGTTTCCCCTGCACGTTTATTGGCTCCAGATGCCGTCAAACAACAGCATCCGTAAGCAGATTGAGACCCTGCAGGTGAGTTACCATGGTTACCCACAAGGGAGCTCAGAGGTCATGTGATTGACCTGGAGTCGTTCGTTGTAGTTTTTGAAAAGTGATTTCTGTTAAATAAAATATCTCCTTTTGAATTGGACTTTGAGCTTTGTAACTTTGCAGATCTTTTTTATGCTCAAACAGCAACATTACAGACTAACTAAAGTTGAAAATGTGAAAAAGCATAATAGGACCCCTTTAAATTATATAATATCATTCCTATGAGCCAAATTTCACATGCGTACTGCAGAAATTTAATGCATTCTGACTAAATTGCCACATTGCTCCATCAACTCTGATTTAAATGAGTGTAATTTCACAATATGGCAACACAGAACATTACACGACTTTCCATTAATTCAAATCAGAACATGTGCGATCTGTAAACACTCTCCAGTCCCTTTGTTTTTCCATTTGCACCCATAACTGATTTTTAATGTCATAGTATAATGTCACTGGTTTTAAAGCATAATCAGTACTTCGAGAAGTTCATGCTGTTTAAACCCTAAAATTGAGCTGGTTGTGTGTCTGATGGAGTTGAATCAGAGCGACGATAGAGCAAGAGTTGTGACTTTCAAAAAAAACTGCACCTTGTCTTTAAGCAAAATCATGCAAATCTGCTCTCTTTTGTTTCACACCAATCACACACCGATTCAAATACAGATTGGCTCTTTGAAACTGTGTTTGTATTCCGATCATTTGACAGAGGCTCAGTGACTCTTCTGCAGTGTTTATGATGGTACATGTCTTGTCAAGTGGTTTGAGGTGGAGCTTGTGGAATGAGTTGCTACAGAAACACAATTGAAATGTATTTCATTTGGCATTGACAAGATGAATAGCTCTGAGTGATTTGTGTGCTGTTGTGCTCCAAGCGGGTGTAGCTCAGCCTCAGCATGAGGATTCATATGTTTGTGCTTGTGTGCTTTTGGAAGGCGGTGAAGAATGAAGTGAATGTGCCCTGCCTGAAGAACTTCGTAGAGATGCTCTACCAGACAACCTTTGACCTCAGCTCAAGAAAGAAGCACTCACTGGTACAGTCCTTTTCTGCTTTGATACATACTTTCCCACAATCTCTGTAGCCTAGATCATTCTGCCACCCAGAAGGCTGACATTTTTTTGTGGAACACAAAAAGTTTAGCTGATTCTATCTGTGGCCCTTTTCCGTGCAGTTGCAAAGCATTGAAGCTTTAAAAAGTACCATAAAACTCTCATGAAAGTGGGCCATAAGAGTTTTGCGTTTGTATTTCAAATCTTTTATTGTCTGCTCTATCAGTAGTATTGAGTGAGAAATAGTTGTTATTCACTGTAAATCTGTCCTAGCTCTCCATGTCAGGTGCATGAGAGAAGTTGCAATGTCCGATTTGTGAATCAGCATGTTAATTTTTTCTTGTTTGATATATTTTCAGTTTTCTGTGTCTGTCTCTCTCCCCAGGCATTGTATCCCTTGGTCACATGTCTGCTGTGTGTTAGTCAAAAGCAGTTCTTCCTCAATAACTGGCACATCTTCCTTCAGAACTGCCTTTCCCACCTGAAGGTAACATTTTCTAACAGTGAAATGAATACAGAGTGTTTACTTCAGCTTGGTGATATTCTTTGGGGGGAAAACCCCCACTAGAGCTGACAGTTTCACAGAGATTGCACCATAGAAAATGCAGCTTACAAGTAGCTGTAAAAAGTAGCTACAAATCCTACATTTCTATCAAATGTGGTTTGGGCACTGCAAAAACCAAACAAAATAAAATGTGCTGTTGATACATATAGATTCTGAAGCCTGGAGGCAGGTTTGGTGATTCAATATAAAAATTCATTCTGTTTGTGGGTTGGTTCACTTACATAATTTTGGAGAAAGGTGTGGTGTTATAGACAACTTCTGAAAAATGCTTCTTGCTTATGTTTTTCAGTTAATTATACTTGTGTCATCCACTCTTTCTCAATCATATCTCAAAACCGTGTGTGTTTGTGCTTGTCCACGTTCTTTTTCATTGTCGCTGGTTCAGCTACAAGGATGTGATCATTTTTTGGTTTCTTAACTTCCCTTCCACAATGATTGAGTTTTCCTCCAATCTATGCAACTTTATCATGTGAATCTTCAGGATTGATCCGTGATGCTTTGATTTGGTGGTGGTGATTTTATGAATGAGTAATCAAACTCTATGTAACTCCCTGCAGTACCGATTAAATCCTTTACTCACTTTCCGTTAACCTAGATCAGGACTGGATCAGAATTGGACTGTAGTGTGGATCTTACTCCAAATCCACTTTAGGCCGCTTCTTACATTTCTCAAAAAGGCATGTGAACGATTCAGGATCAGAAGTGAAGTTTTCCTCAGTGGTCTGTTAGCCAATTGAGCCCAGGTTTATGGGATTTGTAGTCTCAGTGGTGGATAATTTCTCTCCTAATTGATCCATGGATCCCCTTTACAGTTCTGCTTGTCTGTCTGCTCCCCTGTCTGTTCTAACCCTGCTGTAGTTTGTCTTCCCTGGCCAACAGACTTTAGTCAGAGTGGACGTCATATTTTATTTGAATCCTTGTTATATGTAGCGTCTAATCTGACTATATTCTTCACAATCACTCTCGCTTGTAATCACCCATTTGCATGCACTAATCCTGCCTTTTTTGTTTTTATTTTTTTTATTTCATTTTGTTTCAATCCTGCTATTTGTCTTCTCACCCATCAGAAACTCTTCATCTTCATCAGCACATCACCTATATATGAATTCAATTTAAAATGAGCTTCCTAGAAGCTTTTGTCTAATGGGACATTTTCATTCCTTAAGGAAGTATAGATAAATGTTGAAATACTTGTGTTGATTCTGTAGGGAATCTGACACTGAAGTATTAAATCTTATGCACCCTGCTCTTTGTTTTGCATGTTGTTGTAGCACAAAGCTTTGTTTTGTTCTTAAGTTTGTCTCTTGTTCTTTTTCTAACCTGCATGTCTTCGCCATCACCATCACCCTCTGTCCTTTGTCATCTTTTTTTGTTTCCCCTGCACGTTTATTGGCTCCAGATGCCGTCAAACAACAGCATCCGTAAGCAGATTGAGACCCTGCAGGTGAGTTACCATGGTTACCCACAAGGGAGCTCAGAGGTCATGTGATTGACCTGTGTTCCACATGGGCTTTTTGAGACTCCTGACTCTTTTGCCTGTCCATAGAGGAAACAATGCTAAATAACTTTATTACTTTCCTGCTGTCCTCAAGAATTCACACAGGAAAACCACCCAGTTCAAGGAGTCATTGATGAAGATGTAGACTTTATCATTTCTGTGGTCACCATTCAGGGCGTCAGGAATGTTTTATCTGAGGTGGCATTAATTCAGGCCAAAACTGGCGTGCTAAAAAAGTATTTTGTATTACGATACATTTCCAAAAATATGTAAGTGAAAATATAGAATGAATTATTATTAGTAGTATTTCGTAAAATTTTGTGCTAATTATTAAAGTGATTGACTATCTAGCCTAGTGATTTTATTTTATCCTGCAAGGGGACCAGGTTCAACTCTTGGCCTAAATTTTAATATTGCAAGCAAATTTGCAGCAAAGTTTGACAGCAGTGCACTTCTGGAAAATTATGGAAATTATGGATTTATATTATGACCATCAGTTTGAATGTCCATGATGCTGCAGATCACAGTCTTTCTCTGTAGAAGTTTAAATAGTTTGCAAGTTTGTTGCATTTATATTGGTTTGTTTTGAATGTACAACTCTTTGAAATGTACCTGCAGACTCATTAGGCCAGAGTGGAAAAACATATTGCTGATAATTCAGTAAAGAAATGGCATCCTTGTTGACGGAAGACACTAGGGAGTCCTCACTGTACTAGTGCTCTCATACTTACTGTATGTAGTTGATGTTCACTGCAAACCATGCAATCATATCGCCCCTTATGGTGAGTGTTGATTATTATTGCATCAATGCAGTTAAAGCAGAAATTACAGCTCTTATTGGCTTGTAAATGGAGTCCAGTGCGTCATATTCGTCCTTAGCTCGTCACGAGCAGTAGGTGAGCTATTGATCATCACCCATCATGATACAGATGAAGCAGCAGCTCTTTATGAATGAATCTGGCATATTTTCTAGGCTGGGTTAATTCATGAATTGTTGTTTTTGGAGGTCATTTCGACTCACTTGGGGGTTTTTAAGACCCTGTTTTCTGTAAAGCCACTTTAAAGCAATGTGTTTGTAAAAATCCACAATAAGGATTTTTTTAATTTAAGATTTTTCACTGCCACTGGCCCCACTGGTCTCACATAAATCAGCAATAAATCAGCAGTAAATACATCACCGGAGTTGCTTGATGTTAAGTCCATTACACCCTATAAAAATTACAGTTCCAAAATTACAAAAATGTACTTTATGGAAATAAAGGCCTTTTTTCTAGGGCTCATGTCATGAGTTCTTGTTGTCTGAGCATTTTTTGTTTCTTTCTTTTTAGAACAAAGATCCCAAAATGTCTCGTGTAGCACTGGAGTCTCTTTACCGGCTGCTCTGGGTTTATATCATCAGGATCAAGTGTGAGAGCAACACAACCACACAGAGGTGGGACACACAATCATACAGATTTACAAAAATGTCTTGAATTTATACCAGTTGCATACACTAGGAATACATTCACTCAATACTAACCCTAACCACAAACATACCATTATTTGAGAAGGTAAACCTCTCAAAGATACATACAAATATATGCAAATTGTCAGATTCTTGTAGACCATTCTTGTTCATATGTATATAACATCTCACATTATCTCTTTTCCCTCACAGTCGTCTCCTCAGTATTGTAACAGCACTTTTCCCAAAGGGCTCTCGCAGCGTGGTGCCCAGGGACACACCCCTCAACATCTTTGTTAAGATCATTCAGTTTATTGCTCAGGTAAAAAAAAATAAATAAATAAAAACACTCAAAACATATTTTAGAATACCTCAGGTTCATATCCAGCCTTCATTTTGTCCCAATTCCAAAGATAGCTATCCACTTTACCATCTACACTCTATTATTTTATAATACAGTTAAAATTATCAAAATGAACATTTGGGAGAGTGGTTTTAATTTATCGCATTGTTTTTCATTGGTTTGTGGCACATTTGTTTTCCCTCTCTAAAGGAACGGCTGGACTTTGCCATGAAAGAGATCATCTATGACCTGCTGTGTGTGGGCAAGTCCCACAAGACTTTCACCATTAATCCAGAGGTGTGTGAAGACATTCACATAATGTACCAGCCATTAAAAAATTTGATGGCATCTCTGGATGGATAAAAAGATAAACATAGAAACTAATTATCTCTCTCTTATCTGTCTCTCTGTCAGAGGATGAATATTGGTCTGCGGGCCTTCCTGGTAATAGCCGACAGCTTACAACAGAAGGACGGCGAGCCGCCCATGCCCACTACAGGCGTCATCTTACCCTCAGGCAACACACTGCGGGTCAAAAAGATCTTCCTCAACACCACCCTCACAGACGAGGAAGCCAAGGTCATCGGTATGGACCCTTACAGTTCCTACACAGCTCTCCAAAAAGAACATATTCCTGAGTTCAGCCTTTCCCGACCCTAAAGCATTTGGTCATATTCGATTAGGTGATTTTTCACGTAATTGTGATTCCTGGAGCATGTGCTGTCCTCATTGAGCTTTCAACATAAATAAAGCTGTGACTTTCTGCCAAGTCCTTTTTTGTGTTTTTAAGTAAGAAAGGTTTAAATATTTTGGGATTGTAATTGTGGTCCATTCCTTTTTTTTTATCTGTGTGGACATTAGTCAGAATTTCCTCGTATACTTAAATTTGACTTTATATTTTTAATAGTTTGTTTTGCTTTTCCAGTGAAACACATTAGATGCCCATTTGTTCAGATAGTGGTGTATTTATCTGGCCTCATTGTTTAGAGATCGAGGAAATGCCTCTGTATGTAGTCTTTTGTAACATTTTTCCTTTCTTGTACTAGATTTTGCGTGTGAGCTAAGCTGTTCTCTTTCTGTGTGTGTTGGTCTGTGTAGGCATGTCTCTGTATTACCCTCAGGTTAGGAAGGCCCTAGACAACATCCTCAGGCATCTGGATAAAGAGGTGGGACGATCCATGAGCATGACCAACGTTCAGATGTCCAACAAAGAGCCAGAGGACATGATCACGTGAGTTTCTTGAGATTTTATTTTCATAAATATGATATAAGACTTTTGAACTTTTAAAATGGTATGAAAGTGGTGTTGTTGTTGTTTATTTGGCTTTCATCGTGTTTAATATATGTTTGTGTTCTGCTGTAGTGGGGAGCGTAAACCGAAGATTGATCTGTTCCGGACATGTGTAGCTGCTATTCCCAGACTAATACCAGATGGCATGAGCAGACAAGATCTCATCGAGCTACTGGCCAAGTAATGACCTGTGACCCTCATGTCAACCCTCATTTATCACCACAAGAAAACTCCAGCCATTCTCCAATTCACTAGTTCTGTTGTTAGAGAACAATTACATTTATTCCTACTGACCATTCACTTCAGTGGATTCAAATGTCATGATTTGATTCTGATTCAGAAGCTGTCAAATTGATTCCGTATTGATTGTTTTTTAAAATTTTCAGTTTAAATGTCAACAGGCCAGTTATCACATTTTAGTTATTACATAATGTCCTGCTACAGTGCATGATTACTCCTGATTGCTACAGTGCATTGTGAGTTCAACATGGTCCGGGTTCACTTTTTCATGTTTGCATATTTCCAAAATGTTTGGTCTTTATAGTTTGTTATATAAAGCTAATTGCCTGTAACACAATTTGGAATGAGGATTTTCAACACAGAGTAACTCAAAGGTCTTCTCATACAAAGTGTTTACTTTAGGGGTGTGAGTCAAACAGAAAAATCACACTTATTCAGAAAAGTACCCATAGACTAATTTGACTTGCTAATTTCCATGTATTCATGACTTCCTGTACAGCAACCACAATCTGAGTCAGACTTCCTGTGAAGTCATAATGACATGTAGTCAGAACTCGTATGTCACTGTTACCCGCTTGACCTCTCTGTGGTTCTGGTGACGCATGATGCCGTTATGAAGATGATGATGCATAGCATTTATTTGTTGCATTCTGTAAACAATGACTCTTTCTTTCTCCCACTCGTCCAGACTGACCATCCATATGGATGAGGAGCTGCGTGGTCTGGCGTTCACCACTCTGCAGGCTCTGATGGTGGACTTCCCAGACTGGAGAGAGGATGTGTTGTCTGGTTTTGTGTATTTCATTGTGAGGGAGGTGACTGACGTTCACCCCACACTACTGGACAACGCTGTCAAGATGCTGCTGCAGCTCATCATACAGTGGAGACAGGCGGTACAGAGCAGCAACCGCAGCCATGATTCACAGGTGCGCACACACAACTTAAAGTTTTTATAGTATATAATACAGTGGTTCTTAATCCTGGTCCTGGGGACCCCCTGCTTTGCACATTTTGAATGTCTCCCTTATCTGACATACTCAAATCAGGTGTGCTAAATAAGGCAGACATGCAAAATGTGCAGAGGGGGGTCCCCAGGACCAGGATTAAGAACCACTGTTATGATATGATGTAATATAATATAACATATAACACAGCAACATAATATATACACTACTGTTTAAAAGTTTGGGGTCAGTAAATTATTTTTTTTCATTAATACTTTCTTTCAGCAAGGATGCATTATATTGATCAAAAGTGCCAGTAAAGACTTTTATATATTATGTTTTAATGCTGTTCTTTTGAACTGATTATCAAAAAAAAAAAAAAAAAACTGAAAAAAATGTATTGCGGTTTTCACAGAATTTTAAGCAGCACAACTGTTTTCAACATTGATAATAAGAAATGTTTCTTATTCACCAAATCGGCATGTTAGAATGATTTCTGAATAATGATTGCTGAAAATTCAGTTTTGCCATCACAGGGAATATGTTACATTTTAAAATTTATTTAAATAGAATAGTTTTCAAATAGTTGTATTTATATATTTATTAAAATTGTAATAATATTTCACAATATTAGTGCTTTTACTGTATATTAAAAAAAGTCTTACCAACCCCAAACTTTTGAACGGTAGTGTGTTTGATATTTTTACTGTAGTTTATCATACATTTTTAACTTGTAGTTTAACATGGTATTTTTAAATAATTTTTAGAGCCCATCTCTCCCTCTGGAGCGATCTCCTCTCTGGACGGTTCTGCATGTGGTGGAGGGTCTGGCTCTGGTCGTGCTGTGCAGCTGTCGACCAGCAACACGCAGACTCGCTGTCAATGTCCTCAAAGAAGTCCGATCACTGCACACGGCCCTCGGCATCGCTACGGTAACCATCTGCTCTAAATGACTTCCTGTTATTCACCTACATGAGGTGACATTGTTTTGTTTGCACTTCATATTCATTGCTTTGTCTTGTTTCTCTCTCTCAGGGAGATGAGGAGTTGGCTATAGAAGTGATGGACAGATTGAGTGCTTCAGTCCTTGAAAGCTTTATTCACCTTACTGGGGCCGATCAGGTGAGGGAATGCAGGACATTGTGTTTTTGGATGTTGGTGTCCCCTCCACACTGGAATGCTTAGAAAGCTTCTGCCCAAAACCAAAAAGTAAAAATTAAACTATATCAGGGTTATCTTTTTTTGCCCCTTTTCACTGTAGACAAATCTGCTGTACTGTCCCAGTGGAATAGACCTTCAGACTCTGGCAGAGTGGAGCTCATCTCCCATCAGCCACCAGTTTGATGTGGTAAGCCCCTCCCACATCTGGGTGTTTGCCCATGTGACTCAAGGTCAGGACCCCTGGGTCATCAGCCTGTCTAGTTACCTGCGGCAAGAACACCTGCCCAAGCACTGCCCCACTGCGCTGAGCTACGCCTGGGTCTTTGCCTCCACACGCCTTCAGCTGCTCTCGCCACAAGTCGACATCAAGTATGTTTTTACATTCAAATGTGTCTCTAGTAGTGCTGGGTGACATGGGTAAAAAAAAAATTATACAGTATCTCAATGTTTTTAGTCTATATTTGTTAGCCATTGTTGTCAGATAGATAAAAAAATGTTTAAAGACATAACATTTTATTAAACATCCAGGTAATAATAAAGACAGACATTTCCACACTGTTTTCACTATATTCATGTGAGAATTAATAATATTTCATACTTTTCTTTTATATAAAACAACTTAATATTACATAGTAATAAACAGCCACGTGACTGCATAAAAATCATTATTTTTTTATTTGGCAAACTTGTTTGTATATGATGTATTTCTGTAAGCCAGATTATGTGACTTTCCTGTGTGACCTTTGACTTTGCAGCAGCCCGATCAATGCTAAGAAGGTGAACAGCATGAGCAGTAGCAGTGACTCATATGTGGGCCTTTGGAGGAACTACCTAATCCTCTGCTGCAGCTCTGCCACCTCTTCCACATCTTCATCCTCATCGGCCTCCGGCTCTGTACGCTGCTCCCCACCTGAGACGCTGGCATCCACCCCAGACAGCGGATATAGTTACGACTCAAAGGTCGAGGTCATAGCACCCTACCAGCTCTAGTGTCAGATGCAATAATTAGTATTGTTAAATGTGAAATATTTGCACATTGCCTGATTTGGGACACCATATTTGAAATGATTAACAAGTTTGTGTACATGTGTGTGTCTTTGCAGATCATTAGCATTCCGTCCCCTTCCTCCTTGTTCAAGCATGTGGTTCCCATGATGCGCTCTGAGAGCATGGACATCACTGAGTCTCTCGTTCTGGGGCTTGGCCGGACCAACCCTATTGCCTTCAGGTATGTCTTAAGATCACCTGACAAAGCTCAGAAAAAAATCTACAAAATATGCTTTATATATATATATATATATATATATGTTATTATATTGTGTGTAATTGCATTTTAACCCAGAGGTGTGTCTTACAGAGAGCTGTTGGAGGAATTAAACCCCATCATTAAAGAGGCACTTGAGAGAAGGCCAGAGGTGAGTTGACCACAGTTTGACATTTGACCCTGTCAAGGAATCCATGCCTGAGGACTCATGGATAAATGTTCCACTAGACCATTTAAATGCAAGCTTTTTGTCTATCTATTCATAATACAGATGCAGATCTAAACAAATTGTTGATCCTTGTGTTTTTTTGTTTCTGCAGAACATGAAGCGACGCCGGCGTCGTGACATTCTCAGAGTCCAGCTGGTCCGGATTTTTGAGCTACTGGCCGATTCTGGAGTCATCAGTCAGATGTAAGTCTCACACACTCACAACATGTACACTACTGTTCAAAAGTTTGGGGGTCAGTAAAAATGTATCACAGTTTACAAAAATAAATAAAGCAAAGTGTTTTCAACATTGATAGTAATAAGAAATTTTGAGCACCAAATCAGCATATTAGAGTGATTTCTGAAGGATCATGTGACACTGAAGACTGGAGTAATGGCTGCTGAAAATTCAGCTTTCCATCACAGGAATAAATTACAATTTAAAATATATTAAAATATAAAACATTTATTTTAAACTGTGAAAATATTTCACAAATGACAAATTTATTTTGGTCAAATTAATGTAGCCTTGGTGAGCATAAGAGAAGTACTTCCACACTCTGACTAGTTTATTTGATTTAAATTTTATGTCCAACATGCATCACAGAAGAACTGTTTTTTTTTGTTTGTTTTTGTTTTTTCTGAAAATCATGAACACTTCCATTGCATTTCAGATGTTGTATTATGTTTAACAGTATTCTATTCTAAAAAAAATCTCCTGTTGCCAAGGCTAATTTCATAGCTAGCAACTTAGGTATCCTAAACAGTAACATGTTTATGTATTGTCCGTGCAGTGCAAGTGGTGGTTTGGACGGGGAGTCTCACTCTCTGAACAGCACTCTGCTGGAATACGTGGATCTCACCCGACAGCTTCTGGAGGCTGAGAACGACAAAGATTCAGACACACTGAGAGACATCCGCTCACACTTCAGTGCCCTAGTGGCCAACATCATACAGAATGTACCAGGTACACACCCACAGGGCCTTTTCACAGAAACTAATATTGTGTTAAAGTGCCCCTATTATGCCATTTTTAAGGTTCCTAATATTGTTTTGGGAGTCTCCTACAATATGTTTACATGCATGCAAGGTCAAAAAACACTTTAGTTTATGCATTTACTATGCATTTAATATCACTTCATTTTCCAATGATTTTCAAATGATTCGTTCAAAGCACCTCTGAGATTCAGTCTCTCTAAAACCCTCCTTTCTGTGAGCCTACTCTGCTCTGATTGGTCAGATGGCCCAGTCTGTTGTGATTGGTCTACCGCGTACAGCGCGTGTCAGAACCGATACCATAGTTCCATATTTTGAACGCTCGATAGAAAATATAAACATCTATTATTTCTCATACTTACAGGTTGTGATTCAGTGGAGCCAGCTGGTCCAAATAAACTGGGTACTGAGCCATCTTTCAAGAGCAAGCATTTTGTGAATCTCGCGTTGAACTCCTCGAGATTAGAGGAGCAGTCATCAGTAAAATGGCAGGAACACAAAAAAGATTGGGGTTGTACTGTTGTGGTACAGTGGGAAAAATTAATTTTCACCACTGTTTCTTTGCAGCCTCATTTTCCGGAAGTGAAAATAAAACAAATTCACAGCATAGGACACAGCGTCTTCTCGACATGGCAGGAATTATGCAAATATGTTACCCCGTGACGTGTAGCCATCACAGAAGTGGGATTCGAATTACTGACAACTCGTTTAGGCTGTTCAGAGTCAATTCTTTCTTTTGGGAGACAATAACTTTATTTATCGTGCTTTGCAGATCGTTTACATTCACATACAGCTACATCACACGCTGCATGAAAGGCAATATTCAAAATGGCATAATAGGGGCACTTTAATAGCCATTAGTTCACTAATCTGTAAATTCACTAATCTGTTATTTAACTTCCAACTGATCTCATGATTGTGTTTCTGCAGTACATCAGAGGAGGAGTATATTCCCTCAGCAGTCACTGAGACATAGTTTGTTCATGCTCTTCAGTCATTGGGCTGGACCCTTCAGCATCATGTTCACACCACTGGACCGATACAGCGACCGCAACATGCAGATCAACAGACACCAGTACTGTGCACTGAAGGTACCGTCTCACAAAACACACATTTGCATTTGCAGCCGTCACAGATTTCACTATCACTACCATAGAGTGAATGTGGTATATGATGTGTGTCTGCACAGGCCATGTCTGCGGTGCTGTGTTGTGGTCCGGTAGCTGATAACGTTGGCCTATCCTCTGATGGGTATCTATATAAGTGGCTGGACAATATTCTAGACTCTCAAGACCGCAAGGTAAATACATTTTACTCATTTGCCCACGTTAGCATTACCAGCTAATCAACTTTTATGAACTGTCACATGCATGCATGTTTGTGCTCAGGTGCATCAGTTGGGTTGTGAGGCAGTGATGTTGTTATTGGAGCTGAATCCAGACCAGAGCAATCTGATGTTCTGGGCGGTGGATCGCTGCTACACTGGCTCACGCAGAGTCGCTGCAGGCTGCTTCAGAGCCATCGCCAATGTCTTTCACAACAGGTACGTACTACAACGTTCTTGTGGTAAATGTGATTGAATTTGTGTCAATAAATCAGGTAAAATTAATACTGTGTGTTTGTTGTCTCTTGCAGGGATTACCAGTTTGACACTGTGGTTCTGCTGAATCTCATCCTGTTTAAATCTGCAGACTCTTCCAGAGACATCTATGAGGTCGCCATGCAGCTACTGCAGGTCAGTGGAGATTCTTAAGCTTTTTCTGTCAAAGGACACCAAGAGTGTACAATTGGGTAAATAAAATCGTATTGGGATTATTTTGCCATATGATAACCTCCATAAATATATCATAATGTATGTTTACAGTAAGATAGTATTACTACTAAAGTAGTATATTGACCTCATTTATATAATTTTATAATTATTATTATTAAGTCCAGTCACCTTTATTATTTTTATAGCACTTTATGCAATACCGATTGTGCCAAAGCAGCTTTGCCAACAAAAATCAATTCTGCTGCAAAGCAGCTCTAAAAAGAGGACAATAGCAAACAGTCAATTTTCAGTTAAAGTCAGTTTATCGTTGATTCAGTGATGCCATCATCCAGCTCAGTTCAGTTCTCTTCCAATAGTGTCTGTGCAGTCATGTTGATAATATTGCCAAATATTAAGTGTCCCCAACTAAGCAAGCCAAAAAGCGACAATGGCAAGGAAGGAACCCAAACTCCATCGGTGGCAGAATGGAGAAAAAACCTTGGGAGAAACCAAGCAGTTCTCCTCTGGCCAGGCGAACCAACGTTATTATTATTATTGTTGTATAGAGTCATATTGAATGGGTTCCATAAAACAACTGTGGGAATGTAGCCTGAGATAAATGAAATGAAGAGACTTTTTTTAAACTTAAAAAAAAAAAAATTATTTCATTATGATTATGGGTTTAAATCATGTTACCCTGCGCACAAGCATAACAAACGTGGCACTCTTAAAAAATTGAAATCTCAATTTTTTTAATGAGAAAATTTGCAGAAAAAATAAGATTTGTTTCCCTAAATCATTCAGCCCTTAGTAGTTTGTTTCATTTTTCAACCTGTCAAATTAACAGAAAATATTTAATTTGGTTGTCATGAATATATCCCCGAATTCCATCATAACTGATAAGCCCAGTTTCCTCACACCTACTTGTGCTTCAAAAAATGTAAGAGTTTAAATTGAAATTAAGTGTGATGAGCACAGTAACTTGTACCAAATCATAATGTTTGTGCATGTGTTTATATATTAGATGCTGGAGCCCAAACTGTTCCGTTACGCCCATAAACTGGAGATCCATCGTACTGACGGGGTCTTGACTCCAGCCTCTCCCCTCCCTCACCTGTACTCAGTGTCCTACTACCAGCTCAGTGAAGAACTGGCACGGACCTACCCTGAACTCACCCTTCCTATCTTTTCAGGTACATACACAAACCCACATAAATATAATGCTCAGTAAATCTAACATTTGGTAATAACTTTTCCTTCCTGCATAAACACTGTGTTTGTAATGAGATTATGTGTTGTTTTACTCAGAGGTGAGTCAGAGAATCCAGACAGCGCACCCTGGTGGCCGGCAGGTGATGCTGCATTACCTCCTACCTTGGATGAACAATGTGGAGCTGGTGGACTTCAAGCCTTCAGCTCAACGTCAAGAGGAACCTTCGTCGACGGAGGAAGAGGAAGATGCCCATGAGAGAGAAATGATGATGGTGAACAGCCGTCGCTGGCTGAGAGGAGAGGGCTGGGGTTCACCACATGCCACTACCATGATCCTCAACAACCTCATGTTCATAACTGCAAAGGTAAAGGCACACATGCTACACGTCGACTATGTGCAGACCATGGTACAGGTCTGAATATCTATAGTGAATATACAGTACATTTCTATAGCAGACAATTTTTCTTAAATTTTTCCTTTTCCATTTAAGTATAGTTTTATTTTATTTTATATAAATATATTATTTAACACATTCACTAATATTTATACCCATGTTTTCAAGGTGATCATTGCATGAATGTTCATATGGTCTGATTTTACAGTATGGTGATGAATTTGCATGGTCAGAGATTGAGAACGTCTGGACCACTTTAGCTGACAGCTGGCCAAAAAATCTAAAGATCATCCTGCACTTCCTTATCAGCATGTCTGGAGTCAACAGTGAACCAAGTCTCCTGCCTTATGTGAGTGATGCCTGTCTTGGCCAGATACTCAATCCTTAAGCAGATGGGCTGAACTTGAGACTTCGACCATGTTACTTAGGGTGTGTTCACACTTGGCATGCTTGGTTCGATTAAAACGAACTCTGGTGCGATTGCACTGTTAGTGCGGTTCGTTTGAGTAAGTGTGAACGCTGCCATCTGAACCGTGGTGCGCACCAAACAAGTGAACCGAGACCGCTAAAAAGATGGACCTTGGTCCGCTTCCAAACGAACTCTGGTGCGGTTCGAATAAAATATGAACGCAACACGGACCAAATACTTCTAAACGAACCAAAAACAGGAAGTAATGACAAGATGCGACACTGCGACATGATTTGACGACGCGGAAAGAGCGGTGTATCCAAAACAAAATAAGCAGAGGGCAAACGTGGAGCAACGAGGCAGTAAAGTGCCTTTTATGAGCTCTTTGTGAGTTCGCAGGTGGTGAAAATAAAATCAAAAGTACTGCGTAGCAATGAGCGCACTTAGTCCAGTAGACGGCATTAGGTGTTCGACTTAAAGCGGCGCTAAGCAGACCGATCGGTGAATGGGTACTGTGATGTCATACACCGATCTGTCTGCGCAGCGCCGCTTTAAGTCGAACACAGCTTTTGTTTGGGGTGTTAGGTGAGTTCCGTCATGAAATATACGTCATTCAACCCGACCAATCAGGTTGTGAACGTATCACTATGCCTTTAGGTTCGGTATCTTTAGGTTCGCAGTCAAAAATGCCAGTGTGAACGCTCAGCGGACCAGGACCAAATGTATCGTTTTCTTTTTTGGTCCGGACCAAACGAACCAAGAGAACCGAACTACAAGTGTGAACGCACCCTTAATAACTTAAATTTGTTCCATGCAGTTGTGTTTCTCAATGTGTTTCCTAATATTTTGCAGGTCAAGCGTGTGGTGGTATATCTGGGCAGGGATAAGACGATGCAGCTGCTGGAGGAGTTAATGTATGAGCTGGAGCAAACAGACCCTGTATCCTCGGCTGTCACTCATATGGATAACCCACCTTACTACCGCATTACTTCTTCTTACAAGATCCCTTCTGTTACATCAGGTATATATGCTTTAAACCACTCTGACCACTTGCATTTCTCAATATGACCTTTATACAAATAAGGTGAACAATCATAAGACGAGTAGAAACAATTCAGGAAACCCCAATGATTGCAGAAAAGTTTCTGATAAATGTGATCTAAGGAAGCAATTACATTTTCACTGTCATTTCGTTGAATTGATTGGCTTTTTCAGGAACAACGTCCAGTAGTAACACCATGGTACCTGGACATGATGGACACCATGAGAGCAAAATCAAAGATTCCAACATGGAGGACAGGTAAACTGATTCTAGATTTAGGAAATGGGTTCCATTTAAAACAAACAAAAAAACAAAAAAGTTATTACTGAAAATAAACCAAAAAACATTTATCAGGCATTGCTGACTGATTGTTCATAATTTGTTGCTTCCTCAAAAGTACTAGACGAAGTTGTAAAGTGGAACCTGAATGTAATTTTCTGTATCTCTGCGCAGTTACACACATTTGGACATCTACACTGGTCTGAACAGTAATCTGAACAGACAGCACCATCGACTGGAGTCCCGTTACAGCAGCAGCTCAGGAGGATCCTATGAGGAGGAGAAGAGTGAGTACATTAACATCACTGTCATACTTATGATCAGTGCTCCCTTTAACTTCTGATGGTGCTCCTGCTCTGACCAGAAACACTTGGTCTGAAGGCAGACTCAAAAATGTGTGGATATAAAAGTAGAATCAGTGCAAAATTCAATGGCCAGCATTTGCCATCAAAGGAATAAATTACATTTTAAAACAGGAAATGATTTTACATTTTTAATCTTACAAAATTTCACAATATTTTGATCAAATAAACATGAAAATATATTGCAAGTCTCAAACTTTTGAATGGTATTGTATGAACATGCTGTTTCTCTCTGTAGGTGACTCTATGCCTGTCTATGCTAACTGGCGTCTAAAGGTGATGGACCATAACCGGCCAGAGCCCCTCCCATTTCCTCCCACTGGTGGCTGCTGGTCACCACTGGTCGATTACCTGCCTGAGACCACCACGCCTGGAGTCTCCCTGCACAGGTGAAGGACATACTCAGTGTGTCCTAAATTAGAGTCAGTGTTGTTCTCCTTGACCTTTGACCGCTGACAACATTTCTTTGCAGATGTAACATTGCTGTGATCTTGCTGACCGACCTCATTGTAGACCACGGGGTCAAAGTGGAATGGAGCTCATACATTCACCTGCTACTTCATGCCATCTTTATAGGTAACACATACACAACTAGTTTATTAAAACCATTATCACTGGAATGTTCCACATTGTATGTCCTGCAATGCATATTTGTGCTTGTAGGTTTTGACCATCAGCACCCTGAGGTCTATGAGCACTGTAAGCGTTTACTGCTCCACCTGCTGGTCGTCCAGGGCACCAACAGCAGCATCCAGTCACTAGCATCTGTACTTCTCCGCAACCGTGAGCTGAACGAGCCCAGAGTTCTGACAGTCAAGCCCACTCTTCAGGAGTTCAACCTCACAGGTACCTAAAAGCAAAGATGTTTTGCATTATCTCTCTGCCACAGTGCTCTTATCCAACTGATCGCTAATAATAATGGTTAATTATTGTAATAATAATAAGTAATATATTAGAATATTAAATAATTGTGCATTGGTTTATCTCCCAGGTGTTATAGAGCTGATGCCAGACTACCAGTCGTCTCCAATGACAGATTCTGGCCTGAGCTCCAGCTCCACATCCTCTAGCATCAGTCTGGGCAGCTCAGCACTGCCTCACCTCCCCCCTACTCTCCTTAATGAAGTGGACCTGTCTGCAGAGCAGGATGAGAAGGTCAAAAACCTTATTGAGTTCATCAGCTCAAGGTGAGGGGTCTCAGGCCAGTCTGTCAAATTCTCCCTCTTAGTATTGCACTTTCATTATCAAAGTGCTGAATATTCCAAACACTTCAAGCATTAAAGAATTCAAGAATAGAATTGGGTTACATAGCCTGATGGAAGCTCAAAGTTCTCCATGACAGTCTGGTAAAAATAAATGTTTGCTTTAAGAAATGTATTACTATTGTCTGTTGTAATAATAATAATAATAATAATGAATTTAAAAATAATAAACACAAGTATTAAAACATTACATTTAATTTCTTGTTTTAAGAAAAACCATACAGACAAGATTTTTTTTTCACTTTTTTTTAGCATTTATAGAGCATACAAGTGATCCTTATTTGACAAAAAAATCCAATGTTTTGTTGTAATATAATATTGACATTTTAACAGATGATTAAATTGTTAAAGTTTTATGAATTCATTTTATTAGACACCATTTTTGAGGATAAATTGTATTAAACCATAAAACACAGAATCCAGAAGAAAAAAACAGAAAACGTATTTAAACACACAAGTTATGTATATATTGTAATATTTCTGGCCGTGTTACCCAATTACTTTTTGGAGCAATTGACCACAAGTTGCTTTGGATAGAAGAAGAAGAAGAAGATAGAAGATAACACATTTATGAATAAAACATTTAGTTCTTAGTAATAGCAATATCATGTCCAACTGGAGTCTATGATAGGACATGATTGTTTATCATATGACTTTCTCATAGTTGTCTCTGCATATTAAGATGGGAAGGTAAAAGTGTTTTAACATCAAAATACTGATTTTAGATTTAAATAACAATTTGTTTCTGCAGTTTTGTTACCAAACAATAATGTTGTTCCTGCTAAGTTTCCCTGGATACATATTGAATGTACATTTATTTCTTTGTTAAGTTACTATATTTTTTCCTCTGCCTGCAGCCATGTCTAACAGGAGAGGGTATTGTTGCTTTGCATGTGTGTGTGTGTGTGTGTGCTCAGTCTCATCTGTGTGAATGTTTGATTCAGAGTGTTTTCATACAAAATGGTTGTTCACTGAGAGTTGTGTGAACCTGCTTTGCCTTTGTTCTATGTTAGACATTTCCAGTTGTGTTATTGCTCTAATTCTTCTGATTGGTTGGCCCATAGGAAGCGTGGTCCACTGTGGAACCATGAAGACGTCTCTCCCAAAAACCCCAACATCAAGAGTGCCGATCAGCTTAGTGTATTCCTCCGTCATGTTGTCAACGTCTTCAAACAGACACCGTCCGGTAAGACACAACATGTGCCAATTTCACTGCACGGTGGAGTGCCAACTTACATATGAAGGAATACTCATTTTGTCTTTAAGAGAACTTTTATATATATATATATCTTTGTTTTTATGTATATATTTCTTTTTACATATCAATATATTGTATTTTTTTTTAGTAAGCCTCCTCTCTATTAAATTAATATAAATATAATTTTTAATAACTGATTTATTTTTATTTAGATTTAAATATAATGTATTTTTCTAATGAAAATAAAAATGTATTAAAAAAAAAAAATTCTGACATATTTTTGTGTCATTATAAAAAAATTAAATAATATAAATATAATATCCTTGGGTCCTTCCAAGATTCATTCTTACAGTTTCAACAAAACATCATCTACTTTAGTCATTAAGATTTTACTTTATTTTAGATTTAAATCAGTGTTCATGTTGGCCCAGTCGGACATGTGACATTTCTTTCACCTGGACCAAAACTCCCCCACACTGTTCTCAGGCCCTGCTAAGTGTTGATCTCTAAACAGTCATAATCAAACGTTTCATCTGTCTCTTGCAGGGTTTTGTTATCGAGTTGCTCTTGACACTAGAGGCTGGTATAGACACTCTGGCTGAAACGATGAAGAGCTACGACCTGCTCACTGCACTCTCACAGTAAGATTTGCTCTGCTACAACAAAACATAAAAACATTATTTCCCCTCATATACAGCACATTATTTTACCTATATAACCTTGAGATGCTGTCTCCATTTCCTTCATAGGGCCTCCCATGATCCTCTGCAGGGCACCAAGTTTGCCAATAACAGGAAAAGTACCGGTCAACTGAACCTTGGCAGTGGAAGTTTCTTGCATGTCCATTACAGCCACGCTCGCAGCAACTCCCTCCGTGCCAGTCTGATGGGTGAACGCTTAGGAGACCGTCACCGCAACAACACCCTTGATGTAGCCGACCGGTTGGGTGGCAGCCACGGAAATCTAGCCCGCACGCGGAGCTTATCATCATTACGAGAGGATGGTGTCCGTGGCGATGGAGGAGGATCTGGTGAGGTGGTGCCACCAACTGACCCTACCAACCTGCTGGCGACGGTCTTCTGGATTGCAACGTCGCTACTGGAGTCCGATTATGAGTTTGAGTACTTGCTGGCACTCAGGCTGCTGAACCGACTGCTGGCCCAGATGCCCCTGGAGAAGGCGGACAGCAGGGAAAAGCTGGAGAGGGTGCAGGCCAAACTGAAGTGGTACAACTTCCCCGGCCTCCTGACGCTCTTCCTGAAGGGTTTTACTTCAGCTGCAACGCAGGAGCTCACGATTCACCTCCTCAGTAAACTCATCACTGTGTCCCGACACACACTCATAGACCCCTCACAGCTAGCAGGTGCGCCCATGTTCAATATCAGTATCTGTTTCAGTACCGGAGATTTTGATGAGAATTGAGGGTGTTTCCATATATTTATTTTCTTAAATTATTTCCTGTCAGGTTTTCCTCTGAATGTCCTGTGCCTGCTGCCGCACCTGGTCCAGCACTTTGACAACCCCACAGGGTTCTGTAAGGAGACTGCTGATCGGATCGCCAAAGTGTGCGCTGAAGAAAAGTCAGCCACACTGGCCAACCTGGCACACATGATGAGCCTGTACTCAACGCACAGTTACTCACGAGACAGCACCAACTGGATCAATGTGGTGTGTCGCTACTTGCACGACTCCTTCTCTGAACTCACCTTTAACCTGGTCACATACCTAGCTGAGGTGAGATGAATTTGATTGGCGTACATCGAGTCATACAGTTGGAAATAAACTATTGGGATATTGTTGAGATGTTTACAATTAAAAGTATCTGAGTTTTCAGAGTTTTTCAGGCAGCGATAAATCTGCCACCCTGTTTTGTTTAGAAATAGTTTCAAGGTATTTAGTTGAATCGACCTTGGTGTGGATTTTTGTAATTTTTAAATATGATGATGTTTAATGGTTAAATAAATGTATAAATATAAAAGGAATGTATAAATATAACGTATTTATAACGTTTTTAGATATTATACATTCTTTATTTATTACACTACCGTTCAAAAGTTTGAGGTCGGTTGGATTTATTTATTTATTTATTTTAAGAAGTCTCTTATGCTCATCAAGGCTGCATTTATTTGATCAAAATACAAAAAAAATTATTTTTAAATGTATTTTATTCCTGTTATGGCAAAGTGGAATTTTCAGCAGCCATTACTCCAGTCTTTATTATCAATGTTGAGAGCTGTTGTGCTGCTTAATATTTTTGTCGAAACTGTGATACATTTTTTCAAGATTCTTTGATAAATAGAAAGTTAAAAAAAATTGCATTTATTTAAAAAATAAAATAAAATAAAAAAGGTCAAAGTCCTTTTTGATCAATTTAATGTGTCCTTGCTGAATAAGTATTAATTTTTGAAAAAGATTTTTGATTGTCATTGATTATGTATATAAAATCTTTTCATATGTTACTATGTATTATATATTATTATTATTTGTTATATATTTATCTATTTACACACTTATCGTCTGCAACACAATAATGGGGTCTCAAGCCACTTTTTTCAAAACTGAACTGTGCTGTCATATAACATGGTGCTGAAGTCTCTTCCCCTTTGACCTCCTCTGTTTTAGTTATTGGAGAAGGGCTTGAACAGCATGCAGCAGTGTTTACTACAGATCATCTACAGTCTACTGAGTTACATTGACCTGTCTGCTGCTCCTGTCAAACAGTTCAACTTGGAAATCATGAAGATCATTGGCAAATATGTACAGGTCTGTGTACAGCTTACTCTTTCTGTTGTCAGCACTCGGAACATCAGTCCCTCCAATGATTTATTTTAGAATGCCTGTCCCATTTTATGAGAATATGAATACAGAGCATTCCATGTGAATTCCTTTCACAAAGTCTTTTGTTGTTTGTTGTGTCTGCGTTGCTATAGAGCCCATACTGGAAGGAGGCCCAGAACATTCTGAAGTTGGTGGTGTCCCGCTCTGCGAGTCTGGTGGTTCCTGATGAGGTGCAGCGCTCCTACAGCATGGAGTCGACCAGCTCCCCGGAAATTGCTTTCACTCGCATATTCAACAACTCATCTAAAGAACTGCCAGGAAAAACATTGGACTTCCACTTTGACATCTCAGAGGTGCTTGGCCTGACATCTTCTCTGTCTTCAGCCACTTTTATTTAGTTTATATTGCATGTACACTACTGTTCAAAAGTTTGGGGTCAGTAATTTTTTTATTTTTTATTAATACTTTTATTCAGCAAGGACAGATTAAATTTATCAAAAGTGTCAGTAAAGACTTTTATAATGATACAAAAGATTCCTGTTTCAAATAAATGCTGTTCTTTTGAACTTTCTGTTCATTAAAAAAATGTATCACGTTTCCACAAAAATATGAAAACATTTATACAAATAAGCAATGTTTCTTGAGCAGCAAATCAGCATATTAGAATGATTTCTGAAGGATCATGTGACACTGAAGACTGGAGTGAATTTCACAGTATTACTGTTTTGCTGTATTTTTGAGCATAAGGCCCAATCCCAATTCAACGCTTAGGCCCAATCCCAATTCTATTTTATACCCCTTCCCCTTCCCCTACCCCTCCGCCTACCCCCTAAACCCTTTTCTCAAATATTGCCAATTCGAGAGAGATGAAGGTTGCGTGTATGCACGTCTGTGCTTTTTCTCTTTTTAGAGTGAGTTTACTTCAAAAACAGCGATTATATCCTCTCGTTGCTGGAAAATATAATGTAGCGATTCAGTATTTAAACTGTTATTAATAGAAGTCGTGGGGTAGCGTTGACAAGTTTCTTTTCTCCTGTATGTGTGAGCTGCTCGATCTCCGCGCAGCTATATATATATATATATGTGTGTGTGTGTGTGTGTGTGTGTGTCAGTAAGCAGCGCATTAATATAGAACTGTAATTAAAAGCTCTAATGCACACCAGTATAGGTGTGTGTATTGTAGGAGCTAGACGACGTATGATGACGTGTGACGGCATAGTAGTGGTGTCCCAATTCTTAGGGGAATATTTTCACCCCTACCCCTTGACACTCTGTTTCAAGGGACAAGGGGTAGGGGAAGGGGAAGGGGTATAAAATAGAATTGGGATTGGCCTTAGACTCTTACCAACCCCAAATTTTTGAAGGCTAATGTAAATCTATTGTAGTTTCAGAACTTTTTTTAACTCATCTTAGTAGCTTTTTTGACGCTGTTTTTTTAACATTTGACCCACAGACACCTATTATAGGTCATAAGTATGGAGACCAGCGAAGTGCAGCAGGGCGTAATGGAAAACCACAGGTAATTGCTGTGACGAGAAGCACCTCCTCTACTTCCTCTGGCTCCAATTCAAATGGGCTGGTGCCAGTCAGCTGGAAGAGGCCACAGCTCTCGCAGGTATTGTCACCTATTATGACAATCTTTCAATTCTTAATTAACCATCTGCAGCTTTGATTGCTTTTTTATTATAACTCTTATTTTAATGGTGATATTGTTATCTGCTTCCAGAGAAGAACCCGGGAGAAACTGATGAATGTCCTATCTTTGTGTGGCCCAGAGTCCGGCCTGCCTAAAAACCCCTCTGTACGCTTTCCTTCTCGTATTACATTAGCAGGTTGCACATTTTTAGAGATGACTAATTACACCTCTTTTCTGTAGGTGGTGTTCTCTTCAAATGAGGATTTGGATGCAGGCGATCAACAGACCAGTCTGATCCCCACTGTAGAGGAAGTGACACAGGAGGAGGAAGTGCAAGCAGAAGATGCAGGAAGTGAACAGCAGTTTGGTGTCTTCAAGGACTTTGACTTCCTGGATGTTGAGTTGGAGGATGGAGAGGTGAGCATTGATGCTCTGGGCATGCTGCCTCATCTTTTGATAATTAACAAACAATCCTCAAAAGTCTTTTCTTGCAAGCATCTCAGATAAGGGATGCACCAATGCCATTTTTTTTCAGAACCGATACGATCCGATACCAAAAATATCGGCCGATACCAGCACAGTGTTTTTTTTCAATCAATGTAGAATTTCTATACATCTTTGTGTTGACCTGATCATCACTGTTTTGTGTGTTAAACACAATCTACTAAATGTAGACAACTTCATTATACAGTAAAATAACAAATGGAAAATTTATAACCATAATCTATGACAAAAATACTATTATGAACTAGGTTAGTGGATAATTCAGCAGCAAAAGTTACTCTAAAAAAAATTCACAGTGCACAGATTTTTTTCACAGTGCATTTTATAAAATCTAAACATTAAGTGAAAAAACATTATTTAGTGGGGAACAAATAAAAGTGAATAAGTAGAACTAAATCTGGTAAAATGTTACACATTGCCCTTTTTATTGTTGTAAAATCCATTCATGAAAAACAATTAAATATATTTATATATAAATATATACTATAAGATTAAAAGACATTTCTTTTAAATTTATAGCACAGAAATGAGGCATCAACATATGATAGATAGGACAGAACATGAAAGGCTATTAATAATCTTTCATTGCGCAAAAGTATTATAACATGAAAGGCTCCTATACGGAGTGGCACAAAGCACTTATGCGCATCCCATGCATAGAATGATGCGCTTGAAGCAACATGGAGTTACAACGTGCAGTGCTCCGCATAGAAAAGTTCAAAGCACAAAGGGAAGAGATATTGATGCGTTGTGTATTACATCTATACAATAGAGTCTTTTCTTTTAACAGTTTTAAATTTCAGTTACTGTGCGTGTGAAGAACAATTCATAGTGCTCTCTACTCCAGTGTTGTGATCTAACAGACACCCGGTAGAAAGTAACATGATTTAGAAACAGCACTAAACTCCAGCAAGATAAAGTCTTTTTATGCAAAATCATTGATCTTTATATACATATCAAGTATAATAATAGGAGCACTGAATCATCTTGGAGAGAGTTTTATCGTCTTGACTGTCATAACCAAACGCGATACGCAGTCTGAATGCTGAATGGAAGATGAATTTAACGACTTTATTATTCCTCTGAACTTCACATTAAACTATGGAACGGCTTCAGAACACTTAGAATATAGTGCACAGTAGGGCTGTCAAAATGGCTGAAAAACTAAATTCGAATTTTGTACTTAAATATGATCAAAATTCGAATTAGGTGATAGATGTCCCTCTAGAAAATGCGCAAAATATGTGTTCTGTGTGAACGGCTTGGGTTTCAGTTTTGACGTTAACAAGATCTTCTCCGCATTGATGTTCTCTTTTCCCGCTATATTTTTAATGAACAACGCAGCAGCGCCGCATCTAGTGGCTTCAACTGGATAGGTTAACAAAAACATTATAATGCAACGACACTTACATCGTCATCGCACCTCGTGCGCCGCTGATAAGGCTGCCTCCTTAACGCACACCTAAAATTCGAATGCAATGTTTTTTGCATTCGAATGTGGATTTTTATTTTAAATTCGACGAATATTAGAAATTTGAATCTTTTTTGACAGCTCTAGTGCACAGAAACTTTATGGTGCTTTATAATGTTTTTGTGCCTTTCATGGGGCTTAATAATAACACAGAATAGTATAAGCACAATATTGGATTTGGATTGGTCTCGTCTAACTGATACCCAATCCGGTAGAAACTGGCAGTATCGGAGCCGATACCGATACTGAGTATCGGATCGGTGAATCCCTAATCTCAGAACTGTTTCATGTTTCATCCTTAACAAAGAGAGAAGTCTATGTGTGTTTGTATTTCTCTGACATCACCAGTGTCCGTTTGTATGCCTCCACATTATCTCGGTGTCTTAACTCTCCCTAACACTCTTGTTATCTTTTTTCCTCTTTTGCTTCCAGGAGCTTCAGGTAAGTTTTAAGCAGTGTTCAGGGAAACGTTTGTGTTTTAATCTATAATTGATTGGCCTTGTCATTCATTTAAAAAATTTGCCCATTCAGAAGTTTCACAAAATGAAATGTGATTCTTGCTAGCCAATCAAGTGGGTTTGTTTTGATACTTGTGGCTAATGAGTGTCACAAGTACATGGATGGTGCAAATGAACAATTTTCATTCAAAATAGAATATAAAGCATCTTTTAAATGGTCATTGTTGTGTTGTTCTCCATGTTCACCGACCCCACTGTGCTCTGTGGTTATGCGTATTGCATCGTGTTTTGTATAGTGAATTCATTTCATTTCTTATCCTTTATTTTCTCTATAGTTCACATTGCTTGCAGTTAAAAGTTGATCTGCTTTGCTCTCATTGGCTTTCTCCTGTTCCACCTGCAGGGGGAGAGCATGGACAACTTCAACTGGGGTGTGAGGCGTCGCTCACTGGACAGCATTGACAAAGGTGACACCCCGTCTCTGCAGGACTGCCAGTATTCCGGCAGCACACCCAGTCTCATCCAGCCGGAGGACACTGATGAGTCATCTGAGGAGGAGGTACTGAGCGCTAGCCAGATTCTCACCCGCTCCAACCTCGTAAGTCCCCTCTACTCTGGGCTCCCTCCACACAGGGGGCACCGGCATGGTGTGTCTGTGTGCCAAATTGGGCTTAGACGCTGCCACAGCCTACGTAGGCGGGGTTAGACGCTTGCTTTCTGCATAACCCACACTTCCAGTATCTTTAGACAAGTGCCCTCTGTACTTCTCCCTGCAGCCCAACCAAGCCAACTATTCATTTTTAGTACTCCAAAACCCTTCTTTGACCCTTAATTCCATTTTGATTCCCTTATTTTAATTTGTTTTTGGTAAGTATGGTGATGGGGACCCATTTTTTTCTGTCTTTTTATTAGCCAGAGTAACTTTAATACATTGTAGCTGTTTTGCATTCTTATGCTAACTTTGACATAGGTTTTTAGACCCTTGACAGCATGATCTCATTTAGAGGCCCACACAGAATCTGCACATACTCACAGCAGAGTTCCACAAACATCCATCATTCATACAGTTACACCTCTTCTTGTGTGTTTATTAATTTTTTGTATAATTTGATTATACTTTCAGCTTAAAGCAAGAAGATAGTACTTTCCACTTAAGGCTAGAATACTCTATACAACTTTTAAAATCTGAACACATTTTAAAACGCTAGGCATTATAAACTTGCTGACATTGTAAATGGTTGAAGATTATGGCTGAAGATTACACACTAACAGACTTTTAAGTTTTTCCGAACACAACAAACTCACGCAGAAACGTAAGCAAAAAATCAGGGTCTTTGCCTTTCATACAGTGATTTTCTGTGAAATCTGTCAACTCTGACTGCCCAAAATCTGCAGACTGCCTCAGAATTTCAACAACTAGCATTGGTTCATCTAGACTGCAAAATGTGTAGTTTATTCCAGACTTTAATTTAACATTTTAAAATGTTTATTCCCTTAAAAATCAGATAATGCTAAGTAATCGGTATATTCCTTGTGAGCCTTCTTTTTACTTAAACAGCTTCAAATAGTTTTTCTGCATGAATGTTAACTATGCAATATGAACTTAATTTTTCTTTTCTTTTTCTCTAACCTCTAATAATTTTTTTCACCCTTTTGCTTGCTATGGGGCATGAGCTACTAAGCAGAGCTTAAGAAAACTGATCATTTAAACGCTGCTGAGTGAAAGTCATCTTTTCCTGTTTTTGTCTCTTTCCTTCTACACTGTTTGAATAAGACTGAAAGATGTAATGTAATTGGTCTTGCCAGGCTTATGTCATTTTTCTGGCATGTCGCATGTTGTCATGATATAAGACGAATTAAATATTATGAAGTACAGAACTCTGGTACTATTTTCCATTGAACAGTTATAGGTGCATGCAGCATAACACTTAGTTTAGGCAGAGACTTCTACATGCTTCATTTTTTACTAACTATTGATTCATTTTTCCTTTTCATGCAGCTTAATAGTGATTCAGCGACTGATGACGCCATATCCAATCATATGGACTCCCTCCAGCAGTCGCAAGAATCCTCCAGTAGTGTCCTGACCGAAGAGGCCATGCCTACCCCACCGCTGCCCCGCCCAGACAGCCCCACCCATGAGACCGCCCACTCTGACAGCAATAGCAGCCAGCTGCCTGAGGTGGGATCAATCAGGAGTCTCAATAAATTGTGGTGCACGGGTGCTATTTAGCCATTTGCTTTTTGCTCTCTTATAGAGTCAACTAGTGCTGTTATCTTACCTATCAAATTCCCTGTATCACACAAAAGTGTAAATTTCAAGCTTTTAATGCAGACTTTGCTGCTAAAGTGTTTCCGGAAAGTGTTGCATTTTGAACACTGGGCACTATCTGTTTCCTCTAACAAAATACTGGCACATGATCTCTTTTCCTCGCACTGGGTGTTGCTTTATGGGATGCTTGCCATCATTGACATTAGATATTGATTGACTGCTATGTGGGTGGGACTTGCTTGCCTGCTTGATGTTTGATTCGGGGAGAGATTATCAAAGACAAACATACACCTCAGGCCTGCTGTGCTAGAACTACCTCAAATTTGGTCCCAGAAAGGTTGAAAAACACAGACGTTAACACACTTTAGGCTCTGACGAAGACCACTCACTTCTATCCATGGACCTGCAACCTCATCGTGAGTATTTGTGAAAATCCACCATTCTATGAGGTTTGAAAGGCCGAATCCCCAAACATGAGTTTTATGTGCATTTTCTTTATTTTGTCCATTTGTATTACATCATCCCTGACTGCCCTTTTACATCCCTGTTAAAGGAATCATTCACCCAGACATTGTCATTGTTTACTCGCCCTCATGTTGTTTTTCAGTGGAACACAAATGAAGAAATTTTGAAGAATGTTCATGCTGATTTTTTTCCAGAAAATGAAAGCATCAAGTTCAAGCTCCAGAACTACAAAAAAAAATTAATCAAAAGATTCCATATCATCCATGCATTATATTTCATGTCTTCTGAATCAATATGATAGATCTATATTATAAACAAACTAAAATTGTATCTTAACCAATGGCATTCTGTGTTTTTGACATCAAGTTTGAATATATGAGAGCTACAGTGGAGGGTAAGCTTTCAATGAGTTAAGACTACATTACTGTTCCTTGCAAAAAGCTGGTGTATGACTTTAGAAGACTTTGATTATAGCAAATAAGTGATTTGTTCCACTTTTATGGAGCTCTTTTGTGTTCTTTTTAAGGCCTGATAACTCCTGGTCACTTTATGCTTTTATTGTATGGAAAGTGCAGTGTGAAGACTCTTCAAAGTATATTTTGTGTTGCAGTGTCATGCATTTTGAAACGGCATAAGGGTGAATAAGTAGCGACTAATTTTTTGGTGAACTATCCCTTTAAATCGAAGAGCTTGCCATGCAATAGTAATCAAGTAACAAAAAAAGGCACAGCCCGACTGAGAGAACATTAAAGACTGCTAACAGGCTTTAGCCAGCCATGTTACTAACACTGTAACTTAACTAACTGCGGATATCTGAATATTTTGTTTTTCAGTTCATTTGGTTGATTTTAAATGACGCAGTTCTATTCTAGAAAAATTTTCTTTTTAGGATGTTCGCCCAGGTCAACCTTCATACACACAACCATTACTGTTCAGATGATTTTCAGGCTAAATTAATCTGTGTATGTCCCCTGGTCACAATTCATAGCAGAATACCCTCCTGTTGATGTTAAAAAGCAGGTCATATGGGTTTTCGAAAAATATATTTTTTGCAGTCTGCAAAGTTGTTAATCAAAAAAGTGCATGATAAATGAAGTTGTCTCTCAAAAGAAAGAGTCGACTCTGAACCGCCTTAACGAGTCGTCATATTTTCGAATCTTCTGCCTGTTACCTATATATGTCACAAGGTAACACAGTTGCATAATCCCCGCCTGCCCGTGAAATACGAACACTCTGACCTGCCCACAAACACTTCAGCTAGTTAGTGTGTTCACATCATGTTGAGAAGACGCTGTACAGCGTTTTCAGCCTCACTGGGCATTCTAACACAGTTCCCACACGTGCACCTC